TTACAAACAAGTCATAATTTTTACCATTTTCATGTATTTTGGAATCAAAATGATGAAACGTTTGAATATTTAGGAATAAATAATAGTTTTTACATGACATGAGTACCACAAACCTATAAGTTTAAGGAGAATTTTTGTAACTGCCCGAGTCCAATATTTTCTGCTTCGATTTGTTATAAATAATCATCAGATAGAGAGATTTTTACACCATTACAAGAAATGTTTTGTCCGCGTGCATCGATTTCAAAATTTAACCATTAATCATTTCTCTATTTACTCTTGTTGTATGAATACTCTCTGTATTAGTATAAGGTGTTTTGAGGGAACGGCACAAATTGGACAATATCATATTATTGTGGAGAGTCGTACTCATCTAATATGGTATCGAAACGAATGAAACTTTGTTTTTAATGTTGGTAGAATAGAAGGTATTGATACAATGAGACACATAAGCTATTACTATTACACCTTTCCCGACACAAAAATTATAACAAATTAAACACACTGTTCTATTAATTAATTCACTTCCTATCCGTCTGTCCGCCTTTCCCCATCTCCAATGCTCCAATATGATACTCACTATCCGTCACAAATCGAGACCAATACCAATGCGTCTTCCAAACCTTCCCCATTTCTTCGATCGGAATGCCCTTCGTTTCCGGCAAGAAGAAGTAGATGAACACCGTCATGATACACACGAAGAACGCGAAGAAAATGAACAGCCCGAACTTCAGGTGGCAGAGCATCATCAAGAACACCTGCGCCACTGCAAACGTGAAGATCATGTTCACCGACACATTCATACTCTGAGCAGCCGATCGAATTTCCAGTGGGAAGATTTCACTTGGAACAAGCCAACCCAAAGGCCCCCACGACCAAGCAAATCCTGCCACATAAATGCATATGAACAGTACCACCACTATCGCATACCACTGCGGCAGATCCTCTGCAATTCCACTCACTCCGAACTTCGCCGCAATTGCCGCCGTCACAACAGCCTATGAATCAAACAGAACAAAACCCATATAAGAAAACCTCAAAATAATCAAAATTTCCAATTGGGTATTCGTTAAAATCTCTATTACCTGACATATCAACATTTGAATTCCGCCCTCGAGGAACAGGAACCTCCTCCCCCATTTATCCACGCCGTAAATTGAAACGATTGTGGCGGCTACGTTAACAGAGCCAGTGATTACAGCGGACATTAAGGACGCATTTGTTTTGAATCCAATGGTGTTGAACAAGACAGGAGCGTAGAACATGATGACATTGATGCCGGTGAGCTGCTGGAAAAACGGAATTAGAATAGCCATTGTGAGATGGGGTCTGTATTTCCTCTGCAGCAAATTGGTCCATGGGTGTTCGACCGTTTTCGAGGCTTGACTGGCTGCAACCAAATCTTGAAATTCCTCTTCCACGTCCTCCACCCCGCGGACTCTTTGAAGCTTCTTTTTGGCTTCCTCGTGTTGGCCTCTTTCGATCATTGAATTTGGAGTGTCGGGGAGAACCAGTGAGCCAATTGTGATTATCAGGGCTGGGACCATGGCCCCACCCAAGCTCAACCGCCATCCCCAACCACCCTTGATCTTTGCGAAGAAGTAATTTAGAACATTAGCTATGAGGATGCCGACCGTGATGGATAATTGAAAGCCTATGTTCAAAGCACCTCTGAATCTGTACGGAGCCATTTCGGAAAGGTAGAGTGGCACCGACTGTAATTACACAACCACAAAAGTGCATTTTATTAATTGCTAATTAAGGGCAACACAATAAATTAAAGTATAATTAATGAGATTTAATGAAGCAACAAAAAACAGATTTTTTTTTTTTTTTCTTTTTCATATTATGGTCATATTCCGAATCATAAAAGGACATATTTGTCATTTTTTTAGCAGTTGTCAGATCCAAGTTCCTTCGAAGCCAAAGCCAGCCAAGCAAACCGGATAACACAAATTTTAATAATCCCCAAAATACCCAAAAAGTAAAAAATTCGTTACTGTACCTGGTTGGTAAATCCAATACCAAAACCGAGTAAAACCCGACCAAGAATCAGCATCCAAACGGCTTTAGCAAAGCCATTAATGATGGCACCGCTGCAGAACAACACGCCGCCGAAAAGCATCGACAATCTCCGACCAAACTTACGTGTCACCGTGGACGCCACTATTGATGCAAGCAGTGCCGCCAAGTACAAGGACGAGGTGAACATCGTTAAAGTTGGACTGTCGTATTTACAGTACTGGTTTTTGGTGGCCATAAGATTCTTTTTCCGGTACACTTTCGGAAAAAACTCCTCCAAAAAAGAGTCCATCGACGTCACACCACCTATAACAACAATCCCAAAATTAAAAACCCATCTTCAAAAAACAATTTTTTTTCAATTTAAACAAAAAAAATACCTGAAATTCCAATATCGTATCCAAAAATCAAGCCACCCATTGCAGCAACAATGCATGTTACCATTACAAAGGGAGTAAGATTTCCCGGGTACTCCTTTTTCCCGTCCCCGAGAAGCATTCCACCAACCGCAGGCATTTTCACAAACAAATTAGATCAAACGACGTAAAACAACAAGAACAAGAACAAGACCACGACTCAATGAAAGAGTGGAAGCATACAGAGGAAGAGGCAGAAGATAGAGGTATAGAAGGGGAGGCCGTCGTATTTATAGTGAAAATTGCAACTTTTTTGGAAATGAAAAATAATTAAATCTTTTTGTTGAAGTATTCGCGGCCCTATCCACCGTTGATGGATGTGCTGGAACAGAACTGTGACACATCGGACGGCTTTACAATTTAATGCTTACAAGATAATCCGTCGGTGGCGGTGGACCCCAGTGACCATCCAACCTGGATTAATCACGAAACTACATAAGCGAATATTATCTGACTCAGCTAATTCATTATTTTATTTATTTTTCTCCTTTTCTGTGAGTTGCGTTATCAAAATTTGGATAACGTCGTATTTAAGATGCAACGACGTCGTAAACAAAAGTGAAAAAAAAAAAAAAAAAAAAAGTTAAAAAGCATGTGATGTTGATACGTGGTATGGAGTACGCGGTGATTCTGGTTGGAGATTAGGATTGCCATTCATGTAATTAAGACCAGAAACGGTGGGTAATTTGGGTATTTCCATGATCTTCATCTGCATTGACTCGGATAATAATGCCACCTCTGCTAAATTTACTTTTGATTTTTCAACCCAAAATAGATTATTTTAAATCAATTGATTTTTATCCAAAACGTCTTTTCAAAAAATATTTTAGTCAATAATAGAATATTTTATCTTAATTGATAAAAATATATATTTATTAACACTTAAGACATTCAGTAATTTCTAATTCTGCTTCTAAAATTAATTCTTTTAATGTCTTAAACGAAAAATAATAATAATAATTTAGGTTGAAAATAGATTCCAATAAAAGTTCTCGACAGTAACTAAATAAATTATATTCTTTTCCAAAAGTAAGATTAATTCTTAAACGAGAATTTTCATATCTGGCTCCATACGACGGATTTCCACGTAGAAGAATAACGCGATAATAAGAGCCTTATCCATTAAAAATGGGAGAATAAAAGTTACTTAAATACAAAGGAAAGTGGAAGGCTCGTTAAAGTAAAGAGAGTTTCTCCTTCCACACCTAATGTAAAACAAAACTTTATGTTTTGTGAGTTCATTTTCATCGTAGCAACAATTGACACGTCGATAAAATTAATATTTATAGAGAATAAATTAAAAAAAAAATTAAAGGCATTAAACTATAAATTTGGCACTATAATTTGAAAATTAGAATTTAGTAAAACTATATATATGAGGCGTTAAAAAAAATAATTATTAGATTTTGAATTATATTTATTTAATCTAATAATTCACAAAAATGAATTTTTAATCAATTTGTTGAATTCATTTTGGGAATAAATTAAGCTAAAATTCGTTATATACATATATATATATATATATATATATTATATAAAAGTAGGTTTTATTGAGTAGGAATTTATTAATGGAGACAATTATTATACTAAATTAATTTGGAATGGTACTATTTAACAAACTAATGAATGCTGCAAATTACTCATTGTTCTTTTTTGGTAAAGCTAATGAAATTTTGTCCTAATGCTTTTGAGTTATCCCATTTTTATCTTCCTTAAAATGATATGATTATTTATGTCTCATTCACTCAACTATGCTCGAATTAACGTATATTCATTATTGCAAAAAGAAATTGAGTTCACTCCCACGCACGGTTCCAAAAAGAAAGATGAATATGAATATTAATTTCAATGTGGTTGCGTTGGGTTGGGTTGAGTTGGGTTGGTTGAGGACATGCATGATGCGACACAGCCCCACCGACATTGGACGCCGTATAAAATAATTTTGGACTTGTGAACTAAAAACCATTCCAATTATTTGTAGTGGTTGGTTGGAAGGGATGGGATGAAGCCATTGAATTGAAACGATAAGCCTTGGGCGTTGCTCCATCTCTGGAAACTCTCAATTTCTGTTATGTTTCTTACGTTCATATCTTTGTCCTTTTCTTTTCTTTCTTCTCATTCAACAACATCCATCGATACAATCTTATCTACCTACAATACTCTCACGTGTAAACTACGGGTAGATCCACATGTAAATCAATACGACGCCCAAATTATAGTTTATAATAAATGAATGATTATCAAATGTATGAACGCTTTGAAGAAATGAAAGACTATATATGTAAAAAAAAAAAAAAAACGTAACTTTGGTCGTTATTCTCACTTGTTTGCTTTTATTGATTTAGTTTATCATTGTGAGTCTAGTTTGGAGCGAGCATGTGAGATTTTAGATTAGTTGGAGAAGAGAACAAAACATTACTTAATAAGAGTGTAGATATCTCTCCCTAACAGTCATGTTTTAAAATCGTGAAGCTAACGACAATACGTAACGAGCCGGAGCAAACAGGGTGTGGAAACTTCTCCCTAACATACGCTATTAGTTGAATCCAACAAATTAGAATAAAATGGTGGAAAATGAGAAATTCAATCATTACTCAGAAACCAGTTGGGATTTTGACACTTCCATGGGAACAGAACAGAACAGAACTACACTCTTTCAATCCATTTCAGTTCCTTCATGTTCCCATTTTTCTGGTTTCAACACTTCTTTTGGGTGTGCTTTGATAGAACTCATCTGCAGTTCAGCCTGGCCATGTCGGTGCTCGAGATCGACCTTTAAAGCTTTATTTTAAACCCGTCTCGAAACTTTTCTCTCTTTGTTTTCCATGACATGGATATGGTGCCCCAGCTATGACTACATTCACCTCTGCAATAAACAATGGAGCGCTTAATATCAGAAAAGCACAGTGAATGATCAAATTCAAATACTAAAAACACATATTTCCATTGCATTCCATAAGACTTACAAGTATTAGAGGGTGAGAACGAAAGACGGGGCGTCTCTTCTTCGACCTGCAACAGAGCGGTATACGTAAACACTTTCAGCCTCGCATTCATCACTCCCACCGGCCTTAATGACCTCAACGTTCAGCCTTGGCACCTGCTTTGCCAAAACTCGACAACCGTTCATCGTCACCTTGCAAGCTGACATCCATAGCGATCTCATGGATTCGTACCTCTCTAAACCAGAAAGCAAAGCTGCATTTCCAAATGGGCTGTCTCTGATCTCCAGTTTTCTCAGCTTTGGACAACCACTCATAACACACTGCATTCCCCAGTCACTGGTTCCAGCAAAAGCCACTGAGAGCGTTTCCAAATTTTTCGCATATTTCCCGATGTATTCAAATGTTGAGTCCGTTAGCAAGCCCGAAATAGCGAGTCTACGTAGCTTAGAGCAAGTTTTCACGACTGCACCAAATGCCTCATCCATTGGTTGCTTTGTAAGATAGTCTGGTTGACAAGGGTTCATAATGCAGAGACGAAAATGGGTGAAATCTGGGCAGTTCTGCACAATGGTGGCTACAGCCTCATTCGTCATCTGGCGACAAAAGTAGAGAACGTAATGGAGTTTACGGCAGCCATACGAGACAGCAAGAAACCCCGACTCGGTTACACCGTGAACCAAATTGTCAGCATAAGGATCGGCTGGAAATACACGGAGCTCCTCTAGCAACGGGCAACTTAGTCCAACAGCCTTCAGGCCCTTGTCTTCAACTGTGTCTAAAACCTGTTGAGGTTCAAGTATAAAAACCATTGTAAACAGTCATGGAAGGAAATATCTCTTCTCCTAGGTGCCTGCATTGCACAGTCCTTGCAATTTCATTGATACTTAACTAAAGAAAGGAAGGGGAGAATGAATCGTACCCAAAGGCGACGAAGAACGGGGCAGTGCGAAAGAAGTCCAGCAAGTTCACCACCGTGTAGCGTAGCATAGCTCAGATTCAAGAAAGTTAAATTCGCACAGGCAGGAAACAGAACTTGGAGATACAACACTGTCGACTCCAATAAACCAGACAGAGTATGCAGATTATTGCAATTTTTAAAGGCGTGTTCGAGATCATAGTACTGCCGAAGAGTGATCTCTTGCGAAAAAGAACCCGTGCCTAACTCCGTTAACTGAGGAGCATGTACAAGCAGCCTCTGCAACTGTTCCAAGTTTATGTTCCTATTAACCTTCAAAACCTTCAATGATTTGCACCTTTTTACTAGCTTCTCGAGCGCCTCGAAACTGACATCACTGTTCAAACTTGCAAAGTTGAGTACTTCCAGAGATTTCAAGGTATCTGGGAAGCAACTCAGCCAACTTCCACTTTTGTCATAGATATCATTCTCAAGTATGTCAAGGTCCGTCAAGTTCCTGTGGCCAAATTAAAGTTGGTTCGCGTTTTTTCATCAGAATGCAATAAAACACAAAAGAAACAAGATCGAAAAGACGAAAACAGACCGCCCATCCATGAAAGAAATGTTTTTGCTAAACATCATTTTCAAGAACACATATTGAAAGACGCATTCAATTGTTGACGGCCCAACTAGCAGATATTGCCCTCTTTGGGCTTTCTCTTTCGGGCTTCCCTTCAAAGCTTTTGAAACGCGTTTGCTAGGGAGAGGTTTCCACACCCTTATAAAGGGTGTTTCGTTCTCCTCTCCAACCGACGTGGGATCTCACAATTGTTTTCTACTGCTGATAATCTGTTGACATGGTCGTTTTGTACATCTATGTCAACATCTTTTAGAATTGATGATAATGAACTCCAAATGCCATTCAATAGCATTTATAAACAGCAGCCTGAGGAAAAAAGCCCCAGCCGCCCAGTTGAAGCTTCATTAAAGACTAAAGATTTAGGGAGCTGGCAGAATCAGAGCAGCCATGGGAGTAGGTTGAAGATCAATGACTAACCCTCCAATATTATGAGTAATTAATTAATTAATGATGAACATGATATTTGACAATAATGGAGACAAAGTTGCAAGGATGTGATATGGCAACAACGTTATTGGCAGAAAAAAGCAGGTGAGATGTCGCATCCAAGAAAAAAGGAAACAGATAATGAAAAAGTTAGTAAATTTCTCATCAAACTTCAATCAGGAGGGGAGCAATGAGGGAATTATACGCAGTACAATTGTGTATTTATTATGACTTCCATTTTCTGTAAATCAATAAAGTTCTCTACTTTTCCATATGATTCCGACATGATACTGTTCGAGTGGTGTCCATCACCAACCCCATATAAAGCTAATTGAAAGAAACCAAACCAAATCAAACCGAACATCGCTTTTAATATCAAAACCACAACAAAAACTGTAAAAGAAATCAATATTAGATCTCATCCTAATAATGAATCACAGTTTTTGAAAGAAAAAAAGAAAGAACAAACGACGTACTTGCAGTGAGTGGCAATGGCGGCGAGCCCATCGGTGCTGAAACCATCGCAGCTCATCAATGAAAGCGCTTTGAAATTTGGGAAGGAACGAGCCAAAAATTCCAAGCTCTCGTCAGTAACAGTCATCCTCTTGAGCCTCAACTCTTCAAGAATTGGGTATTTTGAAGCGAAGGAAACGAGCCATGAATGAACATCAGCACCCCAATTGGGAGGCACCAAATTGAAATCCGAGAATCTGGGTTTCCCTTTCAGCGTCACACTCCGAATGTTGGGGAACCGTCGGACTACAATTTCCGGCGAAACAGAGTAGCAATTTCCGATAAAAACATGGGTTCGCGACCATCGCTCCGCGTTGAACCAATCTTTACAAACCAGAGATACAGAGCTCCTATCTTTGTGGGACTTAACCAAACTCAAAACCCTTTCCAAAACCTCATCTGGGAAGATCGAACCAGCCCGTTTGGACTCGTCCAAGTCTCCCAATTCCTTCTTCCTCTTCGAACTCATTTTACACCCTCGAACCCTCACAACTAAAACCCCATAAGGAAATTCAAAGGGAACCCCCAGAAACCTCTTCAAAATCGAAAATGTAGTTAGTTCTTTAGAAAACAAGAAGAAACCCAGAAATCTCCATAGAACAAAACTTGAAGAGCTACAAAAAGGGGTAAAAAATTCAGAGATTTAGAAAGAGAGAGAGGAACGAGTTGACTCAGGGGAGGTGTGTTAAAGAAGAACAAAAAATAACAAAAATGGGATCTTTTGTAGCGATTGGGAAGTGGGAAGAGCCAAAGTGAGAAACCCAACTAATTGCGTATTATAGAAAAAGGAAGAAGCACACCACAACTATCCCCTCCCCTAATCTCCCTCCATTTCTTTCCCCACCTTCCTTCCTTTTGTTTCGCGCGTTCTTCTCACGTCCAATGGACTATTGACACGTCAGCTATTTCTCTTGCTTTTTTCTTTTTTTTTTTGTCTTAAAATTATTCACTTCTCATGGCTACCTCCTAATATCCCATTTAGTTTTAATAATTTTCATATAAATTAAAAAAAAAAAAAAAAAAAAAAAAAAAAAAAAAAAT